ACATCAAAAATGTCCGGAATGGTGTGATATCGGTTCTCAACTCATCTCAAGCACAATCTATAACGGTCTACAGGTGCCCCAGTGGAAACTGCCGAAGTCCGTCATAACATGTCTTGAACTGAAAACGGGACATTCCATGAATATTCTGAGCTGAAAACGGGACATTCCACGAATGTTCTGAGCTGAAATCGAGCCATCCCAGAGCAAGTCAGTTCAACGTAACTTCTCCCTCCTGCCCCACCCTCTTACCCATATTTCCTAGGTCACCCGGATGAAATGGTTAAATCTTTGCAATGCTACTACTAAAACCCGAAGCATTGTCGCCAAGAAATCAACGGAACAGTATGCTCCTCATCCGCGCTAAGATTATCTCAGTCTGTGAGGTCAATAATACGGTTCACAAAAAGGATTAAAATGTATGTTTATTCCGAAATTTCTCTATAAAACATAGCAATTGTAGTCTTGCATAACAAAGCTAGAGCTGCTTTTGGAAGGATGAGGCAAATCTGGAAATCCAACAATTACTGCAGAGGAACGAAACACTGACTCTACAAGAGCATCATTTTGCCAGTTCTTCTTTATGGAGCGGAATGCTGGAGAATGACCAAAAAGGATGCACACAAGCTGTCCAACTTCCACCACACATGTCTACGTAGAATTATCAAAAATTTCTGGCAAGATACAATCTCGAACACTAAACTACTTCAAGTCACAAACCAAGAAACTTTAGACAGTACGATAACCAAGAGAAGATGGAAATGGCTTGGCCACGTTATGAGAATAAATCCTGATATACCCGCCAAAACAGCTCTCACGTGGAAAAGAGGGTAAGAGAAAACAGTGGCGCCCAAAAACAACATGGAGACGAACGATGGAAAATGACCTGAGTACGGCATCTTTAAAATGGAAATCTGCACTGAAGATTGCACAGGACAGGAAAGCATGGAAAGTCCTCTCTCATGTGCCATTAGGCATAACGAGAACTGATGATGATGATGATATTGACAGGACCCCGAGAGACACCTAAAAACAGGACTGTTCCGGTATCTAAAGGATACGCTATGAGGCACTTGGATGAGAGAGCTCCGAGTTGGTGAGCTATTTCATACAGAATTGAAAAGAATTGGAGGGGGTAGAACGAAATAGGGAAATCGACCTCGAACCCCATATCTACAAACATCACAATATGGTTATGAATTGTAGAGCATGTCTTCTACCCCTTGCGGCGTATTGGGTACATACTGCTAACCTTGCTCTTTAGACCAATCGGCGCTGCAGATTATTGCCGTCAATTTATTTCCGGTTTCGATTTAACTTCCCATGAAAGTTTCCGCTGTCTATTTTTAGACTAAGCCTAAATGCGTGCCCAGAATTAAAAATGTCTGTCTTCTACTTCTTCTTCTCGTCCTCCTCCCCTGATTCTTCTTCTTCTTCTTCTTCTTCTTCTTCTTTTTCTTCTTCTTCTTCTTCTTCTTCTTCTTCTTCTTCTTCTTCTTCTTCTTCTTCTTCTTCTTCTTCTTCTTCTTCTTCTTCTTCTTCTTCTTCTTCTTCTTCTTCTTCTTCTTCTTCTTCTTCTTCTTCTTCTTCTTCTTCTTCTTCTTCTTCTTCTTCTTTCTCTTCTTCTTCTTCTTCTTCTTCTTCTTCTTCTTCTTCTTCTTCTTCTTCTTCTTCTTCTTCTTCTTCTTCTTCTTCTTCTTCTTCTTCTTCTTCTTCTTCTTCTTCTTTCTTCTTCTTCTTCTTCTTCTTCTCTTCTTCTTCTTCTTCTTCTTCTTCTTCTTCTTCTTCTTCTTCTTCTTCTTCTTCTTCTTCTTCTTCTTCTTCTTCTTCTTCTTCTTCTTCTTCTTCTTCTTCTTCTTCTTCTTCTTCTTCTTCTTCTTCTTCTTCTTCTTCTTCTTCTTCTTCTTCTTCTTCTTCTTCTTCTTCTTCTTCTTCTTCTTCTTCTTCTTCTTCTTCTTCTTCTTCTTCTTCTTCTTCTTCTTCTTCTTCTTCTTCTTCTTCTTCTTCTTCTTCTTCTTCTTCTTCTTCTTCTTCTTCTTCTCCTTCTCCTTCTTCTTCTTCTTCTTCTTCTTCTTCTTCTTCTTCTTCTTCTTCTTCTTCTTCTTCTTCTTCTTCTTCTTCTTCTTCTTCTTCTTCTTCTTCTTCTTCTTCTTCTTCTTCTTTTTCTTCTTCTTCTTCTTCTTCTTCTTCTTCTCCTCCTTTAGCTTCTCCTCCTCCTCTTCCTGTTCTCATCCTCTTTCTCCTTAACCCGTCAGCTATCGATGGAGATATAAGGTTGTGGTCTTTGCTCTTCTGACTACCTCGACCACGATGTGACCGTACCGTTTCTCTGATGTTGTCTGTATACCTTGTTTGTTTACCAATTAATTGACAGAAAATCATTTGAGGTTGTCAGGTATGATGGTTCCAGTTACGTCACCTCTGAGTTTGAAATTAAACGCTACTCACGTTTTCTTTGATTACCACATTGCTCAGATGTCCTTTATGTAAACCAGTCATTGTTTGAGAATGCATTTTTCATGTTCTGCCCATTCCCTGGAGGAACCCCCAGCTCTCGGCATTTCAGTGTTTGCAGATTTTTTGTTAGTAATAACGAAGTTACGTAGTTATTGATTGCGGTGCTGGCCTAAAAAAAAAAAAAAATGAACAGACAATTTTAACAGCCGGTGAAACAATTTCACGAAATAAGGTGCTTTAATAATATCTTACTACAAACAGGGGAAATCTACAGGCCACTCTCTGATATTTCAGGGTATGGTAGATAGGCTGTATGCAGCCGTGAGACCTAAGCTGCACTCTCTCGTGGAACGTAGGTGGGTTGTGGTTGGGGCTAGTTCTAGATGTTTTGGGGTCGTTAAAATCATCAGAAAGCCGGGAAACCCAGTCTTACCACTCTCTAAATTGTTTGACTGTCCTTCGACGTCATCTGCGGTAGGATATCAATAAAGCACCCGAAAAAAATACATTGCCACAAGTAATAAACTTGTCTACACAGTTTCACTGGTCCTGTGAATACTGTGTGATACAGCCCCAATTTCTTCCGCGGTGCGACTCTCTTAAGACTGTCGGAAAGCCACGAAAACGGTCTAATAAAGTTCAACAACAGTGCTATCATCATCATCATCATCATCATCATGTCGCGTGAGGAAAAATATATCCTAGTTTTTGTAGCTATATCACATGATAACCAGAATCACGAAGGAGGTCATTGTTCTTGTCTTGCCTCATCCATGTGGATAAGGTGTCCAGGTATTCATCCCGTCGCTTTGCTGTGAAATCATAACTTTTCTTGACATCAAAAGTTAGTTTGCCATTGCTTTCCTTCTTAGCAGCAACATTACAGGTTTGTTGACTTTGGCAGTTAATATTACAGTGTATTCCTCCGCCTACCGTTAGAGAACTTGAGACCATGACCAACAGCCATCTGTCAGCTGATCTCTAGCTCAGTCCACCACCTGCTACTCTCAAGCTCAGTCCACCACCACCTGCTACTCTCAAGCTCAGTCCACCACCTGCTACTCTCAAGCTCAGTCCACCACCACCTGCTACTCTCAAGCTCAGTCCACCACCTGCTACACTCAAGCTCAGTCCACCACCTGCTACTCTCAAGCTCAGTCCACTACCTGCTACACTCAAGCTCAGTCCACCACCTGCTACTCTCAAGCTCAGTCCACCACCTGCTACTCTCAAGCTCAGTCCACCACCTGCTACTCTCTAGCTCAGTCCACTACCTGCTACACTCAAGCTCAGTCCACCACCTGCTACTCTCAAGCTCAGTCCACCACCACCTGCTACACTCAAGCTCAGTCCACCACCACCTGCTACTCTCAAGCTCAGTCCACCACCACCTGCTACTCTCTAGCTCAGTCCACTACCTGCTACACTCAAGCTCAGTCCACCACCACCTGCTACTCTCAAGCTCAGTCCACCACCACCTGCTACACTCAAGCTCAGTCCACCACCACCTGCTACTCTCAAGCTCAGTCCACCACCACCTGCTACTCTCTAGCTCAGTCCACTACCTGCTACACTCAAGCTCAGTCCACCACCTGCTACTCTCAAGCTCAGTCCACCACCTGCTACTCTCAAGCTCAGTCCACCACCACCTGCTACTCTCAAGCTCAGTCCACCACCTGCTACTCTCAAGCTCAGTCCACCACCTGCTACACTCAAGCTCAGTCCACCACCTGCTACTCTCAAGCTCAGTCCACCACCTGCTACACTCAAGCTCAGTCCACCACCACCTGCTACTCTCAAGCTCAGTCCACCACCACCTGCTACTCTCAAGCTCAGTCCACCACCTGCTACTCTCAAGCTCAGTCCACCACCTGCTACTCTCAAGCTCAGTCCACCACCTGCTACACTCAAGCTCAGTCCACCACCACCTGCTACACTCAAGCTCAGTCCACCACCTGCTACTCTCAAGCTCAGTCCACCACCTGCTACTCTCAAGCTCAGTCCACCACCTGCTACACTCAAGCTCAGTCCACCACCACCTGCTACACTCAAGCTCAGTCCACCACCTGCTACTCTCAAGCTCAGTCCACCACCACCTGCTGCTCTCAAGCTCAGTCCACCACCTGCTACTCTCAAGCTCAGTCCACCACCTGCTACTCTCAAGCTCAGTCCACCACCTGCTACTCTCAAGCTCAGTCCATCACCTGCTACACTCAACCTCAGTCCACCACCACCTGCTACACTCAAGCTCAGTCCACCACCATCTGCTACTCTCAAGCTCAGTCCACCACCACCTGCTACTCTCAAGCTCAGTCCATCACCTGCTACTCTCAAGCTCAGTCCATCACCTGCTACACTCAAGCTCAGTCCACCACCTGCTACTCTCAAGCTCAGTCCACCACCTGCTACACTCAAGCTCAGTCCACCACCACCTGCTGCTCTCTAGCTCAGTCCACCACCTGCTACAGTCAAGCTCAGTCCACCACCTGCTACACTCAAGCTCAGTCCACCACCACCTGCTACTCTCAAGCTCAGTCCACCACCACCTGCTACTCTCTAGCTCAGTCCACCACCTGCTACTCTCTAGCTCAGTCCACCACCTGCTACACTCAAGCTCAGTCCACCACCTGCTACACTCAAGCTCAGTCCACCACCTGCTGCACTCAAGCTCAGTCCACCACCTGCTACACTCAAGCTCAGTCCACCACCTGCTACACTCAAGCTCAGTCCACCACCTGCTACACTCAAGCTCAGTCCACCACCTGCTACTCTCAAGCTCAGTCCACCACATGCTGCACTCAAGCTCAGTCCACCACCTGCTACACTCAAGCTCAGTCCACCACCTGCTACACTCAAGCTCAGTCCACCACCACCTGCTGCACTCAAGCTCAGTCCACCACCTGCTGCACTCAAGCTCAGTCCACCACCACCTGCTGCACTCAAGCTCAGTCCACCACCACCTGCTACACTCAAGCTCAGTCCACCACCTGCTACTCTCAAGCTCAGTCCACCACCACCTGCTACTCTCAAGCTCAGTCCACAACCTGCTGCACTCAAGCTCAGTCCATCACCTGCTACACTCAAGCTCAGTCCACCACCTGCTACACTCAAGCTCAGTCCATCACCTGCTACACTCAAGCTCAGTCCACCACCTGCTACACTCAAGCTCAGTCCACCACCACCTGCTACTCTCAAGCTCAGTCCATCACCTGCTACACTGAAGCTCAGTCCACCACCACCTGCTACTCTCAAGCTCAGTCCATCACCTGCTACACTCAAGCTCAGTCCACCACCACCTGCTACTCTCAAGCTCAGTCCATCACCTGCTACACTCAAGCTCAGTCCACCACCTGCTACACTCAAGCTCAGTCCATCACCTGCTACACTCAAGCTCAGTCCACCACCACCTGCTACACTCAAGCTCAGTCCACCACCTGCTACTCGCAAGCTCAGTCCACCACCACCTGCTACTCTCAAGCTCAGTCCACAACCTGCTGCACTCAAGCTCAGTCCATCACCTGCTACACTCAAGCTCAGTCCACCACCTGCTACACTCAAGCTCAGTCCATCACCTGCTACACTCAAGCTCAGTCCATCACCTGCTACACTCAAGCTCAGTCCACCACCTGCTACACTCAAGCTCAGTCCATCACCTGCTACACTCAAGCTCAGTCCACCACCTGCTACACTCAAGCTCAGTCCATCACCTGCTACACTCAAGCTCAGTCCACCACCACCTGCTACACTCAAGCTCAGTCCACCACCACCTGCTACACTCAAGCTCAGTCCTCAACCTGCTGCACTCAAGCTCAGTCCATCACCTGCTACACTCAAGCTCAGTCCACCACCACCTGCTGCACTCAAGCTCAGTCCACCACCACCTGCTACACTCAAGCTCAGTCCACCACCTGCTACTCTCAAGCTCAGTCCACCACCTGCTGCACTCAAGCTCAGTCCACCACCTGCTACACTCAAGCTCAGTCCACCACCTGCTACACTCAAGCTCAGTCCACCACCACCTGCTGCACTCAAGCTCAGTCCACCACCTGCTGCACTCAAGCTCAGTCCACCACCACCTGGTGCACTCAAGCTCAGTCCACCACCACCTGCTACACTCAAGCTCAGTCCACCACCTGCTACTCTCAAGCTCAGTCCACCACCACCTGCTACTCTCAAGCTCAGTCCACCACCTGCTACTCTCAAGCTCAGTCCACCACCTGCTACTCTCAAGCTCAGTCCACCACCTGCTACTCTCAAGCTCAGTCCACCACCTGCTGCTACTCTCAAGCTCAGTCCACAACCTGCTGCACTCAAGCTCAGTCCACCACCACCTGCTACTCTCAAGCTCAGTCCACCACCTGCTACTCTCAAGCTCAGTCCACCACCTGCTACTCTCAAGCTCAGTCCACCACCTGCTACTCTCAAGCTCAGTCCACCACCTGCTGCTACTCTCAAGCTCAGTCCACAACCTGCTGCACTCAAGCTCAGTCCACCACCTGCTACTCTCAAGCTCAGTCCACCACCACCTGCTACTCTCAAGCTCAGTCCACAACCTGCTGCACTCAAGCTCAGTCCATCACCTGCTACACTCAAGCTCAGTCCACCACCACCTGCTACACTCAAGCTCAGTCCACCACCTGCTACTCTCAAGCTCAGTCCACCACCACCTGCTACACTCAAGCTCAGTCCACTACCTGCTACACTCAAGCTCAGTCCACCACCACCTGCTACTCTCAAGCTCAGTCCACCACCACCTGCTACTCTCAAGCTCAGTCCACCACCACCTGCTACTCTCAAGCTCAGTCCACCACCTGCTACTCTCAAGCTCAGTCCACCACCACCTGCTACTCTCAAGCTCAGTCCACCACCACCTGCTACTCTCAAGCTCAGTCCACCACCACCTGCTACTCTCAAGCTCAGTCCACCACCTGCTACTCTCAAGCTCAGTCCACCACCACCTGCTACACTCAAGCTCAGTCCACTACCTGCTACACTCAAGCTCAGTCCACCACCACCTGCTACTCTCAAGCTCAGTCCACCACCACCTGCTACTCTCAAACTCAGTCCACCACCACCTGCTACTCTCAAGCTCAGTCTACCACCTGCTACTCTCAAGCTCAGTCCACCACCTGCTACTCTCAAGCTCAGTCCACCACCTGCTACTCTCAAGCTCAGTCCACCACCTGCTACTCTCAAGCTCAGTCCACCACCTGCTACTCTCAAGCTCAGTCCACCACCTGCTACTCTCAAGCTCAGTCCACCACCTGCTACTCTCAAGCTCAGTCCACCACCTGCTACTCTCAAGCTCAGTCCACCACCTGCTACTCTCAAGCTCAGTCCACCACCTGCTACTCTCAAGCTCAGTCCACCACCACCTGCTACTCTCAAGCTCAGTCCACCACCTGCTACTCTCAAGCTCAGTCCACCACCACCTGCTACTCTCAAGCTCAGTCCACCACCACCTGCTACACTCAAGCTCAGTCCACTACCTGCTACACTCAAGCTCAGTCCACCACCACCTGCTACACTCAAGCTCAGTCCACCACCACCTGCTACAGTCAAGCTCAGTCCACCACCTGCTACACTCAAGCTCAGTCCACCACCTGCTACTCTCAAGCTCAGTCCCCCACCTGCTGCTGTTCCATATTTTTAACTACATGACCTCTTGAGGCCCTGTATGGGAATCTTTAAACAGGGTATAATTTGGGGCCGTTAGTCAGAAGAGTGCCTAATTGTATGCTCTAGGAAGTCATAGCGATGAATTTCCTCCTCTCTATAGCACACAGGTAGGGCAGTATTCTAGTGATCCATCGCTTGGCAAGCCTTGTTAACTTTAAAGGAAAGGTAACATCAATATTTGTATAACAAACCACGCCACAGAAGCTGCGGGATCAGAAGGGCAGTGCTGTTTGTCCACTAGAAAGAGCTTCCCTCTTAGGCCAGCTGCTAGCCAGATCTAAGAGCCTGGTCTGTCCTGCAACAACATGACCATTTCCAGGACTATTCCTGCATATGTGTGCTGAGTGATTCTTTGAGCATGATCCGGCGGGTCGAGGCAGGCTGGTTACGCATTCAGTGAATTGAGCCATTGCTAAACTATCATGTGTGCAGTTACCTTTATATTCGTCACAGAGCATGCAGGCGTTGTTGGTAATGAAAGAGCTGATAGACTGGCAGGTTCTGCAATTATTGAAGATGGCTGACCCATGGATCACGCAGAAATTGTCAATGCCCTTAGAGAGATGGGACGTTCTGAGAATTTTGGAAGCAACGTGTCCACATCACTGCTTAGAATAGGAGAATTTCGAGTAAAGATCGGCACAGACAAGCATGAGACGCACACAAAGTCTTGTTAACCAACATAGGACTGGAATTTTATATATATATATATGGGATGGGATAAGTGGGGAGGGTGTGACATGGAATGTTCCGCACCGGGTACCATCTTACCTTGCTGCGCTACTGCCTTGCAGGACTCATCAACAATCATGTTTCTCCATTCCACGCGATCTCACCTTTAAGCCATTTATTACCCCACCCTCCCCCCGTCCACCCCTTCCTTTCCCCCTTCCGATCAGTCTTGTTGTTATCACACAAGTTCCTGATTTCTATGCGTCTCCACAAACCTCTACGAATATTCGGATTTTACTTCGGCGCCATTGTCGACCTAGGCTAGAATGGGTGTCAAGTAATGTTTAAGAAGTAAAGGCGACTGGCGTGATGCTGACCACGTCGCCTATAAAATGCCAGTTGGTCTATAAGTATTAGATTTAGTACTCTATATCTGATGGGAAACTTTTGTAAACTGAACTAATGTAAACTGGTTGGTGTAAGTTGACAAGAACCAAGCTTTCGGAATTACTTATCGCGTTCTTAATTTCTAAGATACAGATGTCTAAAGCTAATCGTCCTATAATTATTATCTTACTTTAATGTAATTTATTTTTTTTTTTTGTTACTTTTTGTTTAACGAAGACAGTTCAACGCCAAATCTTATGTCTGCTATTCTATTGTTTTGTTTCTTGTTGTTGTTTAACCATTACAGTCGCTACAACCTTATGTCTACTGTTCTATTGTTTTGTTTTCTGTTGTTGTTTAACGAGGACAGTTAGTCGCTGCACTTTTCTGTCTACTGTTCTATTGTTTTGTTTCTTGTTGTTGTTTAACGATGACAGTCACTACAACCTTCTGTCTGCTGTTTTGTTTCTTTTTGTTGTTTAACCAGGACAGTTTGTCACATCAGTCTTATGTCTACTGTTCTGTTGTTTTGTTTCGTTTTGTTTTCAACCTTCTGTCTACTGTTCTTTTGTTTGGTTTCAAGTTGTTGTTTAACCAGGACAGTTAGTCGCTACAAATTTCTTTGTTTATTCCTGAATATCAATTATAATGCTTTTCGACTGTGCTCAGGGTGGCGTGTGTTGTGAACTGAAGATTCAGGAAATTGCAGTTGGTCTGTAGCCACAGAATTGGTAGTGCCTTATGCAGTGTTGATTGTGCAGCAGCTGATTTGTTGTCATTACTGTTTCAAATACGATTAACTGCAATCTGAATTGGCGGAATATTTGTGTTGAAACATCTTGCGGCTGCCTAACGCATTTATTGCGTGTGTATCCTGCAGGTTTTGCAGAGACTGTAGCCAATTTTATCGTACAGGATGGGGATGGGTATTCTAATTAGTTGCTGCTAGCACAGCACCGGAGTAATTATATGGTGACCCGTTTGATGTGTTGTTGAAAATGCTGACTAAATAACTGTGAAGAAAACGATGTATACCATAGTTGATTAAACTTAATGTTTTCAATTTGTTTACACTGGGTACCCAACGAACGTCTGGTGCAGCGCG